AATTTCCCACGTGTGGGACTAATAAAGGTTATCTTATCTTATCTTATCTTATCTCCCTCCTCTGCATCAAATTCCTCTTCCCCTGACTCTGCCTTCATCCATTGTGTTTGTTTGGAACCTTCAGCATACTGTGCACTCTGAACTTGCTTTTACATGTGGGTACAGCATTAGCAACAAGTGTCTTCAATTTTGAGTCATTGTGTGTAGTGAATGACGCCAGGTGTGTTCCCTGTGTTCAAAGATTGGTGACTGTGGCAAGCATTTGCATCACATGGGCTTCATTTGAGGATATGAGCAGAGTTGTTTTGTAACATGTGTTTTAGCAAGGAAAAATGTGTTTAGATTTATGAGTACAGAGGGTTGTGTTTTGTGAATTGTGTCTTCATGTGACATGTGTTTATGGTACTGGAATATGGTGGCTACATTTAGTAAATGTGTTTAGACTACTGGTCATTTGGGTTACAGGATTGGCTTTTGTGTTTTAACATTTGAGAAAAACTGTATACACGTGTGGCAAACACAATAGCTTAAAAAGTTTGGAATGAATTCTGACAAAACCTTGTAGAGGTTTAACTGGCTAACATCTACAGACATCCACAGATGACAGTATGATGGTAGGTCATTATTATTTGTTTTATATATAATACAAAAACTACCAGGACTGAAATGAATAGCAACAGATTTTGTTCTATAACTTTAACATTATCCTACTGATGTAATTTAATCAACAACAAAAGTTGGGTCCTTGGTATTAAAATATAGCATAAGTGTAAGAAATAAAAGAAAAGGTAGTCTTCCACACTTGACCTGAACTTTCAGGTCTTAGATCAATTTCTAAAAGTGCTCTGGATATCAAAACTCAGTACTACAACACACAGGCTGGTGGTTTAGGGACAAAATATGAGAGAGTTTGAATCAAAAGTAAAAATATGCAACACTTTGTTACATATTAGTATTTGACAATTTCAAGTATTAAAAGCTGGAAAAGTTTTTCTGTTTTAAATCCTATATAGAGACCCTCTGTTCCCATATCACCAAACCCCAAACCAAAAATCTGCAAAAATAACTTAAGTATTTAAAAAATGACAAAAAAAGAGTAATATACATCCTCAACCGGACCAAAATATAAAACAGTTATTTGTGAATTATGAAACACTACTAGGTCTATGTCTCTCTGTTCTAATTGCCTTTTAGTAAATGATTTAATAATTGATCCACATATTGATTCATTCTGCCTTACAGAGGCCTGGTTACAACAGGATGATTATGTTAGTTAAATGAATCAACACTCCTGAGTTATACCAATGTCAGAATCCTCGAAGTACAGGCCGAGGAGGAGGAGTAGCAGCAGCAATCTTCCACTCCAGCTTATTAATCAACCATAGACACAGAAAGAGTTTATATTCATTTAAAAGCCAAAGACTTGGCCTTGTACACCATATACCATAATTAGAAAATGGCAAAAAATAGTTTGGTCCCACATTCGCTGTTGTGATTGGTGTGGGGGTAGGGATAGGCTTGGGGCTGGATTCCCCAGGAGCGTCTTCCTTGGAGGGCTCAATCCGGGGTTGCGGTCATGGCCTGTTAAGGGCTCTTAGGTGATGGTTTCCTCGTGGCTGCGTGCAGCGGGGATAGGGGAGGGTCTGTGCTGACGGACATGGGTTACTGACCTGGTAGCCTGGCTGCCCCTAGGTGGGTCCGGGGTGGGCATGGGGTTCTGGGGGTGCTCCGTCTCCGGGCCGGGACCCTGGCTGGGCCTTGGGAGCTTGTGTCCTGGTTGGTGTGTCACCGGGGTTGTGGGCGGGTGGGCATATGGGAGCTCAGCCCTGGTGCGGGTTGCCACCGGTGCATCAAGCCACCTGAGGGTCTCTTTAACTGATGGAGAGGCTGTTACATCTTTGCAGGAGGTCTCCTCTCTCCAGGAACTCACTCTGCAGGTGGGGGAGAGATATAAGAGAGGTGGAGGAAGAACTCAGCCTGGGTGTCTATTGTCTTGTTTATTTATTTATTTAGGACAGTGCATGTTAATGAACATAAATGTAAAAAAAAAAAAAATTACATGAATGTAAACATACCAGATTATAGCCAAGGGCTAATTCCCATCTGTTGTCCTTAAGCATAAAAATAGACATAATAATTCATAAAAAATTCATCATTCATTCATAATAAAAACTCCATCACCAAACTTACACATACACACCATTGTGTAGTCTGGGAGATGAGTGGATGATGGGGTGGGTGCAGTTTTCTCTGTGGTGGGGTTGGATGGGCTGCCCCTGCTGACCTGGGCCCCAGTCCGGATGGGCCTGGGCCCCCTTGCCCTGGTAGGTTCCAGAGTGTGGGGGTGCCTACTGGGGTCAGCGGGGGAGCTAGCCCCCAGGGAGGGGCCTCTGTCCCCTTCTGGCTGCCTGTGCCACAATTTTATCTCACAACTTAGACATTCACATTACTCACACTCTCATTACACATACATATAGGACCTTGGGGGTGGGCACGCTACACCGGCATCCAGAAGACCGTCAGGGTGTACGACCTCACCTCTGGCGCCGTTGCCCACCTCTCAATTTTAAATACACGTAGACATTGAGGGCTATCGGGAGGGGCTATGCGCTTACCTGCTGCTCTCTGGCAGGTAGCTCCATGCCCTCCTGGGTATTAAATTCACCTTAGAACACACATGCATCAACACTACATATGAGCGGGCGGAGGGAGGTTTGGAGTCTTCATACACCCCAATTCTCTGTTGCCTGTTGGGGCGGGGGGCTGGGAGGAGGAGTTGGCCATCCGATTGGGGTCTGGAATGTGGGGCCTCCCTGCTGCTGCGGAGTCCGGGCGGTCTGCTTCTCTCCACCCAGGGAAGAGGGTAACACTACCTGGTCTGGGTGCAGTTTCCCCCTCTAGGGGCAAGAGTACCTAGACCTGGGGTATAGAGTGCGCTTGGGGAGTGTGATTGTGTGTACAGTGTCTATTATGTCTGTCTCACATTGGATGAGTGCTGAGTATTGCATATGAGAGCATGAGGGTGGGAATGGATGTTCGTATCTGTGTGTGCCTGTTTGTCTGTGTCCATATGTCAGGTCAGGTATCAGATGCCACCTCTCTAGGGACTATCATCCACTGATCCACTAAATCAGTTTCTATCTGATTTCTGGCACTATATAAATAAAATTGAATTGAAGTGATCTTTTTGAAATCACAATAGAATAGCATTTTATTTAGACAGAGACATTAAATATAATATTTAATATCAAATCTTAGTTTGGGGAACTGATCCCTGCAAGCATCAAAGTTTAACTTTTTCAGCCCAATTATTTAAGATTTTAAATTATAAAAATCTTTAAGATTTTTATCTTTTGCTTTTTTATCGAAAGGAGACATGTCCAAAAAAAAAAAAAAAAAAAAGACCAGTAGCTAAACAGAAAAGGTACTGATCCTTCACAGGTTCAAAAGCATTATTTTATGGCACAGATCATGTAAGCTTCAGTGAAGAGACACAATACTCGATCACTTCTACATCATTTAAAAGTAGAATGGGAGGGAGAGCCTTCAGTTTTCAGGCCCTCTTCTGTGGAACCAGCTTCCAGTTTGGATTCGGGAGACAGACACTATCTTACTTTAAGATTAGGCTTAAAACTTTCCTTTTTGCTAAAGCATATAGTTAGGGCTGGACCAGGTCACCCTGAATCCTCCCTTAGTTATGCTGCAATAGACGTTGGCTGCCGGGGGATTCCCATGATGCACTGAGTTTTTCCTTTCCAGTCACCTTTCTCACTCACTATGTATTAATAGACCTCTCTGCATTGAATCATATCTGTTATTAACCTCTGTCTCTCTTCCACAGCATGTCTTTATCCTGTCTTCCTTCTCTCACCCAACCGGTCGCAGCAGATGGCCCGCCCCTCCCTGAGCCTGGTTCTGCCGGAGGTTTCTTCCTGTTAAAAGGGAGTTTTCCTTCCCACTGTCGCCAAAGTGCTTGCTCATAGGGGGTCATATGATTGTTGGGTTTTTCTCTGTATCTATGAAGCGCCTTGAGGCGACTTTTGTTGTGATTTGGCGCTATATAAATAAAATTGAATTGAATTGAATTGAATCTTTTACACTATACAGTCTATTTCCTTAGGCCATTCACTGACAAAAAATAAGCATCTTCTTTAGGAACTAGTCTTCTTAATCTTTTGATCTTTAATTGTTGCCTTGCATCGTTTAATTATGGCATTAATCAAAAAAGCTATTTATTTTAACTTTTCACTTAATTAAGCACAGCAAGATTGGTGAATTCTCTCAAATGTCAGTTCTTTATCTTTCTCAAGGCTCACTTTATTGCAGACACTGCATTTTGCATGCAGAGAATATGTACATGTAGAAACTGCCTTGTGTGTGTGTGTGTGTGTGTGGTGTGGTGTGTGTGTGTGTGTGTGCGTGTGTGTGTGTGCGTGTGTGTTGGGGTGACATGTTTGGTTGTGTGATGGAAACTGGTATAAATTAAAGAGAAGCTGATTAACCGATGTTGACATTAATGGTGGAATCCATGACTGAAACAACACGTGGCCTACCTCTGACACAGATGAGCCTTTGGGGTTTATCAATCAGTATGTTGAATCAATAATAGCTAAATATAGAACAAAAGGTGGAGGGGTAGGAGGAGTGGGGCTTGTTAGTCAGTTTTCAGGATTTTGACCACTCTCATTACTTATTATTAACCTGCTGTAACCATATAGTACAATCGTAGGCTAAAGGCAATTGTTTCATCTTATTTATTTGCTTTATTTTATTTATGCTTTATGCTCAAAACACACACACATATACACACAGACAATGGTTGCGCTGCTGTGCAACCACAGTATACAGACAAACATTTTTCCATTCTCTTTTAGATAAAAAAACTTTAGTATGCATCAGTGTGTAAAGACTTTTTAAATCCACAACATGACTGTATTACACAAGAAAAAATGAACAATGGATTATTAATTATTCACCTTTTCTCTCATTTTGTCTTCTAGTCATCGGGCACCAGTGTGGTGGTGGACATCGCAGTGATGGGTGAGGCTCATGGTTTGATCTCAGACCTGCTGGCAGACCCATCATTGCCCCCTAACACCTGCAGCTCTCTGAAGGCTGTCAGCAATCTCCTCAGCACCCAGATCAACCTCCAGCCACTCCACCGACCTCGCACCCCTGCAGACACCCACACCTGCTCTGACTCTGAAGATGGGCCAGAAAAAACAGAGAGACTCGCTATTCCAAAGGTTATTGCTTGTCTTTCTAGAAAAGTTGAGTTTGTGTAGTTCTGGCTGTTTTGTGGAATTTTACTTACAGCTAAAAACAAAGTTTTGTCTGGTCTTCCAAAAGGAGAAGAAGAATCACTACTATTCAGTGTAAGATTTACAGTTATTGTAGATACATATGTTTAACTGTTTAGTGTGCTAGGCAAAGCAGATAAACGTGAATAGAAAAGTCAGTGCCAGTGCAAATTGTAGACACAGTTCTAAACCATAAATGTTAAAAGTAGGCTCAGTGGCTCACACAGTTTTTAGGTTACTGTTTTGAACACTTGTGTTTGTCCTGTTGCCGTCTTGTTTTTCCTGCTTTTTATTTTAACTGGTTGTGACAATGCTTGGATAAATATAAAAATATGTATTCCCCAAAGGTTGGTAAAAACTTCCTTTTTTACTTTAGTCGC